TTACTTTTTTTGACAACCCGCTTGCATTTTTGTGGCATTGTTTATATTTGTGTATGGTGACTAAAAGCAAGTATGACTAAATATTACGCATATCATATTACATATTTTCGCATTTGTGTAATAATTACGATTATGCTGATCATCGCAAATTATCGCAACATCGCGCAAATCAGCATTTATTTTAGACTTCTAAAGAAGCCAATTTTATAATTTTTAAATTACCCGAAAATAAGCACCCCTATAGCAAAAAAGGGTGCTTATTTTTGAGACTATACGGTATTTAATTTTAGAATAGTATGGTAATTTAGCAAAATATTACTTTTAATATAATTTACCTAATAATAATTATATTTTAATAATATGTTATTATATTATATTAAAATGCAGCTATTTGTAAAAATTTTAAATATATATTATTATATAGGATTTCTGATTAGAACATTTTTATATATAATAAAAATGAATAAATAATCAATAAATTGATTGCAAAATGTGATAAAATTAAGCATATCCATTATGCTACTATATTTAATTATAAGCTATGCTTTATATTATATTAAAATAAATAATATTTATTTAATAGTAATAAGAATTGACTTGAAAGTTTATGATATTTTTTTTTAGTCTAATGTATTTTTTGATTCTTTTATCAAATATATTACTCTAGAGAAAAAATTGCCTATAAAAAAGGAAAAATAAAAATAAATAAAGTAATAAAAATAATAAAAAAAAAGAAATTAGTGATTAGTAATCCCAAATAATGAAAAAAAACTGTTATGGCAAAAATGAGTTTATTGATTTTTTTCCTTTTTTTTCTTTTTATTTATATTGTGTCAGATTACTAATCTTTATTATTTTTTTTATCTAATATTTTTTATTTTATTTAAGATGAATGGTTAATTTAATCTAAATTTCAATCAGTTTGATTAGTTTGATTAATCTATTATAGCAAAGATAAGTGGTTATTTTTTTTCTTTTATTTATATTGTATTATATTACTAAATCTTTATTTTTTTCTTTTTCTTTTTTCTTATTTGTTTTTATTTAAGGTAGATTATTAGTTTATTCAAATAATTTCATCTAGTTCAATTAGTCTGTTTTAGCAAAGGTAAGTTTGTTTTTCTTTTTTTTGCATTGTCTCTTTTTTGTATTACTAATTACTAATTTTTTTTTCTTTTTTCTTTTCTCTTATTCATTTTTATCTAGTTAATCTAGGATATTTTTTAGTTCAATACAGATAAATTCATTTAGTTTGATTGATATATTATGATAAAGATATATGATTTTTTATTTTTTTTTTGTATTATCTCTTTTTGTATTACTAATTATTAATCTTTTTTTCTTTTTTTCTTATTAGATTTTATTTGTTAATCCAAGGCATTTTTTAGTCTAATTTAGATGATTTTATCTAATTTAATCAATTTATCACAGTAAAGATAAGTAATTTTTTTTTGCATTATTAATTACTAATCTTTTTTCTCTTTTCTTTTATTTATTTTTACCTAATTAATTTAAAGCATTTTTTAGTCCTATCTGAATAATTTCATTCAGTTTAATCAATTTGTCATAGTAATAGCAAGTGATAATTTTTATATTTATTGCATATTTTGCATTACTAATCCTTTCTTTTTTTCTTTTCTTTTTTTCTCTAGATGATTTTAGCTTTAGTTCAAATTTTGATCAGTTTAGCCATTGCAGTAAAAATAAATAATTTACTTTTTTATTTTTATTTTTTTGTTTATTTTTTGCATAGTCTTAGATTACTAATTATTTTTTTTCTACATTATTTAGATTACTAATTATTTTATCTTTTTAAATTAATCATTTAAATTAGTCATCAATTGTACCTTATATATCCTTAAAAAATTAAGCTTAAATTTTATAAATATATTTTTAATTTAGTGAAAAAAGTATTAATCAACTATGCCTTATAGATCTTTTTTTATAATATCTAATAATTATATTATACAAACCAATTTTAATTTTTTAAGTTAGATTAGAAATATAAAAAATTTTGTAAAAAAATACATATTTTTTTTTAATATATAAATATCTCTATTCTATTAAAATATTACAATAAAATAATATAAGTTGAATGTTGAGATATTGGACTATAACATATTAGTTAAATATTAATAAAATATCAGAAATCTGATATAGCATAATGGATAATATTAAAAATCATATGCATATTATTATCTAATATGTTAATGATTTTTTTATAATAATAGATAGAATCTTAAAAGTATATTATTTAAGATATTAAAAAAATTTATTAAATATATCAGTAATCTGATAGGTCAATAAAATTTATACTATATTTATCTAATTTCTATCTATTATTTATAAAAGGCATATTAAAGAGAATTAGTAAAATATAAAAGCCTGATATTCTAATATTTATTATTATTAATTTACTAGTAAATCTATACCCAATAAAAAATATAATATAAAATTCTATAAAAAAATTAAGTTTTATAACATATCTTTTTTAAGGAATTTCAGTATAATGTATATATTTTTTTCTTAAATAAAAATCTTAAACTTAATATGAAAAATGGAAAAAAACTTATACAAAAAATAAGGAAAAATGTATACTTTATAATGATTTAATGTATACAAAAAATAAGGAAAGACGTATATTTTATAATGATTTAATATATATAAAAATAAGAAAAAAACATATATTTTATAATGATTTAACATATACAAAATCATAGACAAAATATATATTTTATAATTCTTTAATGAATGCAAATCACATAATTTATATATGTAATTACTACTAAATTTACAATTTATTAATTTATTAATATAATTTTAAAATTACTTTAATTTAAATTTATTTAATAAATATAAATAATAACAATAAAATACAAATATTTTATAATAATAAAAATATTATTTAACATAAAATAAATATAAAAAAAAATACAATAAGTAATATTTAGAATAGTTAGTAATATATGAAGTAATAAAGTAATAATATTAGTAATAATATTTAAAAAATATAAAAAAAATAAAATAATATTAGTAATATTAGCGTTAGTATGCCCAAATGATCTCCTTTTATATCTTACAATGACGCTTTATTTATATTGATTTATTACATAACAATCACAAGTAATTAAAAATAGAAAAAAATATGTGGTTTGATTTAGCAGAAGCATGACAACACGCATCTCACTAGTATTGCGTGATGTAACTAATACTTTTTATATCCTTCTGTATGTATGCAAAATATAATAAGAGTGAGCATGAAATGTTAAGCTGTTTAAGGATTCAGCTTGCATTTATAAAAAAAATTAGGCCAGCCTGACGTCTTGACATTTTGTCAACTGGTACCTTTGATAGCCTGACAAATGATCTTCAAAAGACTAACTATAAATATTGAAACAGTATCATATAAAATTTTACTATTGAAATAAATACTAATGAATTCCATAACGTATTTGATTTTTATTTTAAATTTTTATTGGTATAGCTTTTTTTTGCATATTCAATAAGTTATTAAAATTTCTTTTATTTGAGTTCTCATTTTTTCAAATTTACTTTTTCAAACTTATTTGAAGCTAATCAAAATTTTGAATGTTTAATTGATAATGACATGTTTGCATAAATTTCAAATCTAATTTGTTGAAAAGTTCTTCAACTTGTTTTGATATAATATAATGTAATTTTCAAAACCTTGGCAAATTTTAATTCCAATTCTGTAGGTGAATTAAGTCTATTAAAGAATTACAAAACGGGAAATATTTGCAAATGATCTCCCACAAATTCACCAAAGGTAAATGTGAGGATTTTCCCATTGAAATATCCGAAACCTTTAAAATTTAATGACTTGCGTTTTATTAATGCTTAAGTAATGGGCGAAACTTAAATGAATTCGTGATAACTTTAAATATAAATACCCCGTTTTTCTTGTAAACCCTAATAAATTTTTTTCCAGTTGAAAGGTTTATTTTATTATTTTCGAAGTTTTTTAAAAAAAGATATTTTATGAAAGAGACGGTTATTTTAAATATTCTCGCGAAATTTGAAATGGGTAACGTCAATAAGAATCCAAAGTTATTAAAAAGTAAAATTACGACAATTTATTTAAAAAATTAAGCTAAATATGAAAAATCTTCAATAGTAAAATCTTATATGATACCATATATAGTTTTGATTAATTAGTTGACAGCGCACCCCACTATAGGATGCATACAAAAAACATATGTAACATCATTTATTATTATTTAATTTATTTAAAGGTAAATTTAAAATTTCAACGCTGCATAATTTTTCAATTTTATTAGTAATAATAAAATTGTATGTACCCATGCCATGCATTTTGTGCGCATATATGCAAAAAATTGCTAGTGTATATTTTAAGGTTATGATAAGAATATTTGTATTATTACTTTAAAAAAGATTTAGGACGCATCCCAACCGATCTCAAAGTTCATTTTCCTTATTCATAAATTTATCATATAGATAAGCGATTGTTACTAGAATTTCTATATTTGTTCAAAATTTATTTGGGACTGTCTAACGTCCCTATATAAAGATAAAAATAAAAGTAAAACGGTAATAGGATTATTCGATAAAATTTGTAATATTTCTTGATTTTGCAAAAAATATATTTCACGTGATCAGATTTTTTTATTTTTTAAAGAAATGGCCGCGTAACAAATTCTTTAATTCGAAGTTCGAAATAAAAAATCAAAAATACTGTAAATAAAAATTAATCTAAAGGCCAACGAGTAATATCATTTAAAATATTGAAATCCTCCTCTTGCATTAATTTTATCCTCGCTTCTTTAATTTTTCTGGAGAACTTTGATTTTACGTGCGCACAACCTTTGGGTCCAGAAATGAAATAATTGGAATCTATCATGACCAATTTGTCAAAAATTCCCTGGATACCAGATCCATTAAATTCATCATCAAGTTCTTTATCATTATCGGGAAATTCATCAAAAAGAACATTTAAAGCTTTCATCGTTATCCAGGTATTTAACTTAAAAGTCTCGTTTAAAGATTTAATTGCATTGTGATGTTGTGGCCCTATATTATGAAATGTTGATGATTGTGCCTTATTCCCCCCTACATTCATTAATGGATAATCTGTCGCTAAGTATATATTATTGATTCCTAATTCTTCCTTCAGTTTGTAAAGATATTTAATTAAACTTTTAACGCACATGGACAACATATTTGGTTTGGTAATTTCCATTCTCCAGTGAATCGCTATAAAAGGTCTTACTTGATTGACAGAACTTTTCACTGCTTCAATAATATGATCGGCGAATGGTAAATGTATAACTGTTCCCTTTGATGGAAATAGAGGCACGGGAATCAGATGTCTTATTAATAAAACTTCATCATCAACATCCAATAATTTCTTCAGATTTTCAATCATTAAAATATTATTAATTTCTTGTCTCCAATGATCTTTTGGTCCAAGATTAATCGTTGTTTTATTGATTAAAAGATCATCTTTGTTATTAAATTTTAAATCAAATTGGTCCAGACATTCTTTTTTTAATTCCAAATGATCCGTTTTGAGAATCAAAGGATTTCTTTCCTGCATGATGTATCTATGAGTTGAGGTAGGTTTATAATTGCGTTCACGTGTCCAATCGAGGAAATCTCGTTGCGTAATAAATTTAACGTTTGGAAAGATCTCCTTGATTCCGTCTACGTTGTAATAAAAATGAAATGGGAATTTTTTACAAGTTTCTAACCTTGAATGTTGTACATTTACCAAAACTATGGTACGATTTAACATTTCGGCCAATTGTATAAAAGAAAAGAAATGAAAATTTGCCGAAGTTTCTTGTTCCGGTACATGATATGCGAACAAAAATTTACATCTTTCAGAATCGCAGTATTTTTGATTTATGCCTGCGTCGATTTTAGGTAAATTGACCGAAGTTAACGGGCTCGAAATTTCTTTTCCTTCGTCTGTGCGAAATCGATAGATTGTCGATACAATGATAATGAATATGAGAGATTTAATGAACCGCGTATACGTAAGTTTTATTCCGCTGAAAGTCGTTAATTTCGTGTTTTGCAAGATACTCATTTTTTTAGGATTTCAAAAAGAAGATGGCTTCTCTCAAACCTTTTGATACTATATATATATATAATAATTTGGATGAATCTAATTGCATGCTACAATTAACAACTAATAAATCATTTTAATTTGTTTATAATGTAAATAAAATACCAATTATTATTGGCTGCTGCAGGGTCGTTACGATCAACTATGTAAATCAAAACATTTTTTATCATATAAAAATTTACTATTAGAGATTTTGTGAAGCATATAATTATTTGCTACTATTATTACGCTTTTCCTAATAAAAAATCAATTTTTAAATTTAAAAACTTTGGTATATGTTAGCATTCAGACAAATAAAATTGTAAATGAATAAATTATAACCTAAAAAAGAATGTGACGCCTCGCTTTCTTGAAAAACAACAAAGAAAAATCTTTTTTATTTAGAGAGCTGTGTACAAAAGATTTATTTATTATTTCTTCAAGCGTAAATAATAATTTTTTTATTTTTTGAAAAACGAGCTGTTACATGAAAGAGACAATAATTTAGAATGTTTTGTAAAATTTGGAACGAAGATATTAAGGAGAATCTATAGTAAATAAAGTCTAAAAATGTATCTATAAAACAAAATTTAACCTATTAGAATTACCAAAAAAAAAATCTCTAATAGTAAATATTTATATTATACTTAAATATGTTTTGATTTACATACAAATCTAATTTAAAAAAAAAAATATTATATTGTTACACAATGACTTGTAAATCTCAAATTGGCAATAAAGGTTTCTTCTCTAATTCTTTTATTTCCGTCCAATAAATTAAATTTGCATATTTTTTTTTTTTTAAGTTTATAATTCATTATAAACAACAACTTCTTTTACATATATGACCTTAGCATCACCAAGTAGGTAATTAATCCTTCACATTATATAGAAAATCCTAATATTTGCTCGGTCATGATCTCAAAAAATTTCCTGAAAAATTTTTCATTAATTGGATTATTCATGTAGTGCCGCAGTAACAAGTTACGAATTCATTTTTATATCTTGTTTTATATCTATCATCATATTCGAAAAAATACTAATTATTAGCTAAAAAAATTTTTATAGCGTCATAAAGGACATCTCGATTTTATCACGTAATGCGGCGATCACTTATCGATCATTTTACAGTCGCCACTGGTTATAACGAACCTGTTTATACCGAAAACTCGTTATATCGAAATAAGTGGTGCAGAACCGAATTTTTTATAATTAATTGCACTGGATATACTGAAATTATATAGTAAAACGCCATATACCCTATAAAAAATAAATGTCCGGAAAATATCATCGAAAATGTCCTGAATTTATCCAGGTATATCAGAGAATGTCCGGAAAATAACCATTATTTGTCCTAAAAAATGATCAA